GCACTCAGCTTTCTTCACAGTCCAACTCTCACATCCATACATGACCACTGGAAAAACCATAGCCTTGACCAGACGGACCTTTGTTGGCAAAGTAATGTCTCTGCTTTTTAATATGCTGTCTAGGTTGGTCGTAACTTTCCTTAGAGATCCCTTAATAGGGTCTGAGGTTCCAGTTCTTTTATCTGTAATCCCTGCAATTATACAGGAGTGCTATTGATGTGGTGATAGAATGTGGGAGGAGGAGAAGTATTGTATAGTCCCTTGATTAGATCTCTTTCCTTAAGTGAGCCTGAGTTGGGTATTTCCCCCCTCCCATGTCAGTTAGGCTTTGGTAAAAACCACAGTCTGTTAGGCTGTGGCAGAATAGTTTCTGTTGAGGGCAGGCATTGTTAGGAAGAATGGATATATTCCAAAATTGTTATTCTGTCCTTCCCCCTACCAGAAGCAGGAGAGGGGAGTTTTCTCTGATCTTTATAGTAAGAACCTGGTAGAGCTCCTGGAAGTAAAATTCAAGAATATCATGGAGGGCAGGGGGGTGTTGGTGTGGGGAGTGGAGGCTAAGGCCTCCCTTGGAGTTTTTAACTCTCAAGCTAGTCTGCAGTGAGCCTTGAGCAATTCAATTACAGTTTAAAGTTTTCCTACTGAAATTATATAGATCTATTTGCTGGCTTCTGCTCTTAGGAAGCTGTGATTCTCTGTTTCTGCCTGTCTGCCCCACCAATTTTGAGAGCAGTGGTTTGCTTGTAGTTCTTGGCAGAATACAAGAAGAGTTATTGATTTTCAGTTTGTTCAGCTTTTTCCCTTGTTGTGAGGATGGTAGTGATGACTTCTGAGCTCTTTACATGTTGAATGGGAACTCTGAAGCTTGACACCTCTGTTTTTTAAGTATTCTAAAGTCAGTTATAGTCTTAAAATTAAGAATAATTAATTTACTATTTAATTACTAATGACACAATAAATACTACATATAGATGGAAATGTTTATATTATAAATGTTTACATGTTTATTTTTGGCCTACCCTGAAAGCATCTCACAGCATGAATCAGTCTCAACTTTTGCCACTAGAGTCAGTTTCCTTATATTAGTGCTCAGGAAGAATCTTCTCATTAGTTCTACTGATTTCTTAACATGCCTTCAGTGCGTTTTCTCCTTCTCTCATCCCCCAGTGGATGACTGCGTTATTTCAGATTCCTACCACCTTGGATATGAGTTTGAATTAATATCTCTAAAATAGAAGTTTTTTATTTAGCATGACATGCATATAAGGCCCTCCTGTCTTCTGATGTAAACAGTGATTCAGATCAGACATTTGTTCCTCTGGGACACTATCTTTGATATTCTTATCTCACTGCAGATTTCTGAACAGCTGCATGAGTTATCACTCACTCTTCTGTGCTAACACTGTAGCTTGTTCATTACTCTATAATAGCACTAGTTACACTGATTGTAATTTAACTTCCTGATTAAAGCTGTCATTTGAATTTCAGTATCTTACATAGAACATCTGTAAAATAGATGTTCTTTAAGGATTTGCTGAAATGAAAGAAATATCTGCACTGTAAAATCTCTAGAAAGTAAAAAGTCACTGCTCATTGAAGAAAGTCAGTATAATGCTATTCAATGTTTTCTATTGGTATTTTTTTAATTAGAAATGCACAGCAAAGTGGCTTGCTTTATATAAAGTATATTTAATAATCTTTGTTGTAACTACATTATTTTTTCATATTTATGAAAATAGATCTATGTGTCATTGTGTCTTTCAGATAATAAATTCAATCAGTTCAGTTGCTCAGTTGTGTCCGACTCTTTGTGACCCCATGAATCTCTGCACGCCAGGCCTCCCTGTCCATCACCAACTCCCAGAGTTTACTCAAACTCATGCCCATCGAGTCAGTGATGNTTTTTCACTCTCCTCTTTCACTTTCAACAAGAAGCTTTTTAGTTCCTCTTCACTCTCTGCCATAAGAGTGGTGTCATCTGCATATCTGAGGTTATTGATATTTCTCCCTGCAATCTTGATTCCAGCTTGTGCTTCTTCCAGCCCAGCGTTTCTCTTGATGTACTCTGCATATAAGTTAAATAAGCTGGGTGACAACATACAGCCTTGACAGACTCCTTTTCCTATTTGGAACCAGTCTGTTGTTCCAGAGAATAAATTAATACTTATTAAATCACATTCAATCAGTTAAATCACTTTAGGCTTGGGTTTCTCAGTCTTGGCACTATTGACATTTTTGGCCAGCCTATTCTCTGTTGTGAAGGACTGTCCTATGCAATTTTGAATGTTTAAAAATGTACCTGGCTTCTACACTGTGTGCTGGTAGCACCTCCTCGGTTATCACAACCCAGAATATCTCCAGCCATTGCCAGATCATCCCTAATTGAGAACTGTTACTTTAGACTTTGGAACATTTTTATGTTTTACTTTTTGAAATCCCTAGTTACAATGGAATCTTCAAATTATACTCAACTAGTATATCATTTGGGGTCACACAGAATTGGACACGACTGAAGCGACTTAGCAGCAGCAGCAGCATATCATTTTTTTAAAAGTATCACACTTGCTATCTCTGTAACACTGCCAATGGTGCCTTCTAACTAATGACAACTTATTTGTTTTAGTGGTATCTGTTTTACATCCACTTGAATTATTTCTTCTTTTATATCATCTTTGGAAGTACAGTGCCTAAACGAGATGCTCAACCAATGTTTATTGAATTAATAGAACATAAAATAAATTCCTTGCTTAGATTTAATGTCAGTGACATACACTATATTTTAGGTAATCTTAAAAGTGCCTTTAAATCTGCATTGGAGTTGTACAAATAAATAAATAGATTCTAACTGAGCTACATGTTTACATCTGATAGGCTTCTTAATTTTATAAGTCCTCATAAAGAAAAAACAACTTACTTTTAGAAGTCTTACATTTTAAAAACACACAAATTACTCTGTAAACTATGTCAGCTTACACCCTTCAATACATGGGAAAATTGAGCTTATACTTTGTTTATATTATTGTTTGCAGTGA